ACGTGCTGCTGCATTCTGAATTAGCTGGAGAGTTTTTAAGGACTTACTAGAGCTACCTGATAATAGAGAGTTACAGTAATCCAGCCTTGAGGTAACAAAAGCGTGGACCAATTTTTCTGCATCTTTTCGGGTCAGGATAGGCCTAATTTTCGCAATATTACGCAGATGAAAAAATGCAGTCCGTGAGGTTTGTTTTAAATGAGAATTATAAGACAAATCTTGATCAAATGTTACTCCGAGGTTTCTTACGGTAGTGCTAGAGGCCAGAGCAATGCCATCTAGAGAAACTATGTCATCAGATAAAGAGTGATGGGATATCCTCAAAATACATTCCTCAGAGTAATGACTCAGTATCCCAAAATAATGACAAATTAGCTAAAAAAATATATATTGACGGGATTTTTCAAAATAAGGACTTACTTATCCCAAAATAAAGGTTGTAGTATCTTAAAATGTGTATCTCCAAATAACAACTAATTATCTAAAAATAAAAGAAGCCTTACTTTTCTCAACATAATGAGAAGTTTAACGGCTCAAAATACGTTGAATTTTCACAGCAGTTTGTAAAAATCCAAACAGTCACAGCTCTAATGGCGTCCTGGGGGGAGGGGTCATCCTGCACCGTGGTGTCGTGGCATCAGCCTGTTGCTGGAGGTGTTTCTGGTTCATTCATGGAGGGTGTTGTTGATGACGCTCGTTAGCTTCAGCAGTTACAGCCACAGACTGTAGACAGTAATGAACATAAATGTCACCAACTGGTTTGTGGCCTTCTGTTTTAAAGCCATGAGTCTGGCACTTTTGCTGTCGCCATCTTGGATTCTTGGAGCCAGAAGTGACCATATTTGGACGAGAGCGTGGAGATAAATCTAACGCAACATATTCTCATAGAATGGTTCGGATGATATCTACGAGTTTGTGCCGCACGAATGACGTTATGTCCTTCACGTACAGTAAAAGTAAAGTTACTGAGGTTAGGTTACCTTAAAATGACTCAAACTACAACAACAAAGCATCACAAGAATAAAGTCATGTGACGTTCTGTGTTCGTCTGTCTCTACCTCAGCTTCCTAATTTAATTCATCTGAGTTCAGTTCAGTGATCTGTCCTCCCCACAGCGCTCAGTAATCTGTCTCTGTCTCTGTCTCAGATCATGGACGACGCTGCTCCACGTACCGCTCGCTCTTCGTTGGCGTGGCTGGTGGGAGCGTCACAGGTGCTGGGTCTGGCGGCGGTGGTGTTGACCGGCGTGTGGATGGGTCATTACCACGGGGGCTTAGCCTGGGACGGCTCATCGCGGGAGTTCAACCTGCACCCTTTGTGCATGGTGCTGGGACTGGTCTTCCTGCACGGTGACGGTGAGTTCACACCAACAGGAAACTGTTCACTGAGCTGATGCTGAGAGCACTCACCAGGTTCACTCGATGCAACGTGTGGTACGATTTCAATTCCTGTTCAAGTTCTTATTTCACCTTCCTGTCATTTAGTTTCTTAAACATCTTAAACATCTGGCTGACGGTCAGCTGTTGGTTAATGTCGGGCTGTCAATAAGCGCCTGTCGCCCTACAGTGTGTCCCGCACCATTGTCACTCATCGTCCCTTATCAGCCCTTGTTGGCTTTTTTTGGGGCCGATCAGCATGTTGAATCAGCATCGGAGACGACGGAGCCCGTCATTGAATGAGATCACTCTGATTGGCGGTCACAGCTCAGTGCACGAGAAGTGAAATGGAAGTGAGGAAAGTAAACAAAGAGCTAACGTCCAGAGGTACGAAAACAAATGGTTATATTAGGTAAGATTATTTAAGGGATTAGCAGTTATTTGTGTTATTGTTCGCTACCGTACGATAAATATCATTCGTTCTTCCAACATGGAGTTACTGGCTAACTGGCTAACTGGCGTATTGAATCTGTTGAATCTACCCTAACACAGTTCAAGTATCTTGGGGTTGTTGTTGTTGTTGTTCATGACTGAGGGTAAAATGGAGCGTGAGATGGACTAGGCTCAGTGTTAGCCTGTTGTGGTTCAGAGGGAGCTGAGCCAGAAGGCAAAGCTTTCCATTTCCTGGTCCATCTGCGTCCCAACCCTCACCTATGGTCATGAGCTCTGAGTAGTGACTGAAAGAATGAGGTCACAGGTACAAGCAGCTGAAATGAGTTTCCTCTGTAGGGTGTCTGGGCTCAGCCTTAGAGATAGGGGGAGGAGTCAGACATCTGGAGGGAGCTCGGAGTAGAGCCACTGCTCCTTCATGTTGAGGTGGTTCAACATCTGATCAGGATCCTCCTGGGCGCCTCCTGTTAGAGATTTTCCAGGCACGTCCCACTGGTAGGAGGCCCCGGGGCAGACCCAGAACACACTGGAGGGATCTCAAGTCATATTTAGCATCTCCCCATTAGTGTGGCTAAAAACGTAAAAACAGATTCAAGTTTGCAGGAAGTGATCTTCCCTCAGCCAACGTTGCTGATATCTTCAGATCAAACCCGACTGATCAAACATCAGTTTGTATTCACAGTCACGATAAATCATTTTCAGATGATGCTCTGTAAATTGAGTGAGGCGGAGGTCAGAGCGTGGACGCTGTGGTCACCCTGCTGGTGTGTGTCTCATGTGCCTCAGCCTCAGGCACTGACCTGTTGCATTAAGCTAACGCTGTCCAGACCCCATCAACCTGCCTCCACCCCCCCGCCCCCCCTCCCCACCCAGTCCGCCCCCCACCCCACCCCCCCCAGCCCAACCAGTCTGATTTAAACAGAGGAGGATCATTGAACATGTCAGTCTGAGTGTGTGTGTTTTCGGGACACAGGAAGAGCCAGTCAGCACAGAGCAGGAAGCGTCCACCCAGTCTGTCCAGAAACTAAATCCAGGCTTCAGCAAATCAGGCCAAACTGGACCTTCTAGCTCGTCCTGCTGTTGTGTGAAGCCAACTGATAGGAAATCTGAGGAGTGAATATTGTTCAGATGAAGCTAAACTATCAGTCACATGCTCCTTTGTGGCGGCCCAATTTCAGTTTGTGGCCCATGCAAGCAGCAGCCCCCGAGGCTAAAAAATAAAGTCAACACTGAAGCACCAAAATCTGCCATCAAACCTCCAAAGGATCCTCCTTGGGTGTCTTGAACTCCATGTAGGCTGCCACCTCATCCTCGGGCTGCAAAGTTTCATGGCTGGAGTCCTCCACGTCGGTGACCAATGTGACCACGGGGTCAAAGGTTACACTGGTGTCACTGACTTTAAAAATAAAATATATTGTGGCAAAAAATAATTAAATGCTCGAAAAATGTCATTGAAATGTCCAAAAAAAAAGTTGATTAAAAAGTCTGAAAATGATTAATTAAATGCTCGAAAAATGTCTTTGAAATGTCGAAAAAATGTTGATTAAAAAGTCCGAAAATGATTAATTAAATGCTCAAAAAATGTCTTTGAAATGTCCAAAAAAAAAGTTGATTAAAAAGTCTGAAAAGTATTAATTAAATGCTCGAAAAATGTCATTGAAATGCACAAAAAATGTTGATTTTAAAAGTCAGAAAATTATTAATTAAATGCTCGAAAAATGTCTTTGAAATGTCCAAAAAATGTTGATTTAAAAGTCAGAAAATTATTAATTAAATGCTCGAAAAATGCCTTTGAAATGTCCAAAAAATGTTGATTAAAAAGTCCAAAAATAATTAATTAAATGCTCGAAAAATGTCTCTGAAATGTCCAAAACATGTTGATTAAAAAGTCCAAAAATGATTAATTAAATACTCGAAAAATGTCTTTGAAATGTCCAAAAAATGTTGATTAAAAAGTCAGAAAATTATTAATTCAATGCTCGAAAAATGTCTTTGAAGTGCACAAAAAATGTTGATTAAAAAGTCAGAAAATTATTAATTCAATGCTCGAAAAATGTCTTTGAAATGTCCAAAAAATGTTGATTTAAAAGTCCAAAAATGATTAATTAAATGCTCGAAAAATGTCATTGAAATGCACAAAAAATGTTGATTAAAAAGTCAGAAAATTATTAATTCAATGCTCGAAAAATGTCATTGAAATGCACAAAAAATGTGGATTAAAAAGTCAGAAAATTATTAATTCAATGCTCGAAAAATGTCTTTGAAATGTCCAAAAAATGTTGATTAAAAAGTCCGAAAGTGATTAATAAGTGTTCCTTTGACATGACCTGATAAAATCTTGTCAGCTGATCTGAGAGCATTTAAACTCGTTAGTTCTGGGATGAGTTCTGTCAGATTGTACTCACGCTGCAGCACGTCCTAGTGACAAAGTCAGATGTTGCTGTTCTCCCTGCCGTCTGCTTCACGCCTGTAGCCCGGGGGACTTTTACTAATGACTGTAACCAGATTAGTTCAACTGGTTCACAGCTGTCTGCTCCAGAGCTGGATTACATTAGAGCGATAAAAACAAAGGTCAGCTGGACATTACAGGAGGACAAGGGGGACGTTTGTCCTCTCACATACACACAAACACACACACGTTAAAGCTGATTCGCTGTGATTAACTCTGCTGCTTTTGTTGCTTCGGGCCACGTCCACATTAATATATCTAACAACAGATGGTTTCCCTCCACAGTCTGGACCCTCACTCGTATTCACACACCTGAATCATGATGAGACGTGAGCTTTTTAAAAGCCTTGTGTGATCGTCACATGGTCAATATTTTGGAATCAGACACACTGCTGTGGCACTGCACACTGTAAAAAATGTCAAGCTGCATAGTGGAAATGGTGCAAAGCTGCTGGCACAGGTGGTGAACAGAGAGGATTGAAACTCTACACAACCAGCAGCTGTGTTCACTTCAGAGTTTTGTTACAGTCAGAGAAAATCAAAACACAGTGTACGCGCTGTCTGCTCTCTGTAGCACTTGTCTTGAAGCAGATCCCTCAAACAGTGTCTGTATGAACAGGACAGGACGATGGGCAGCACGAGTGTCACATTTCCATGACGTGTACTCTCCACAAATTCAGAGTACGACACAATAACAAAACCAAAACCATACAGAACTCCTAATCCTGTAAAGCTATCCCAGAATGCATTGTCCTTTCCTTCAAACCACTGCTTGCACACATATGAGAAGACAATAACTAACTGGCACAGCGGCCAGGGTAAACAAAGGACCAAAAGGACCAGATCCCACACAGCTGTTTAAACAGTTTCTACTGTTTTGAATGACCCAAACGTTCCCAAACAAACAAATTCTAAACCACACAACGAGGTAACAAATGTCTAAAGCATACAGAAGAGCAAATTACTGTACGTAATAGTTGTGGCACAAATGGGAAGAAGTCGAAGCCATGACAAATACATGAAGGGACACAGTGGGTGGTGATAGATAAAAAGGTATTTATTGTAACAAAGCAAACATCTAAAGAAGAACTACATAGTGTGGATAATCAGTAGTGAGTCAGTGATGTAGATGTGAGTGAGTGAAAAATAGTGTAGTTAAGTGTAAAGTGATGTGAAGCGAAACAAAAGGAAAACCAAACAAGGTGCTCCGAATCAGGCGCTGCACTCCTGTGACGCAGTCAGTAACGAAGGGGAAAAACAGTTACAGGTGAACAGCAGCAGCTCAGGAGCCGTCACAGTGCGACCCACCAGATTCAAAAAGTAGCTGTTAGCAGTTAGCAGCCAACTCAAAGAAGAAGAACAGTGGCTGAAAAGGTGAAAACAGTGAGGTCCAGGACCTCCTTACCCTCCGAGCAGGTGTGACCAGGTGTGACGTTTGATGACATGTCACATGTGCGACCCACCGCAGGAGGTTTAAAAAGCAGCGTACAGCTGTTAGCAGCTAACTCAAATAACAACAGTAGCTGTTAGCAGTTAGCAGCTAACTCAAATAAGAACAGTAGCTGTTAGCAGTTAGCAGCTAACTCAAACAGTGAGGTTCAGGAGCTCCTTACTCTCCGAGCAGAGGACAAGATCAGCTGCCATATAACAGGGACGCTAAATGACTGTTATTGACATGTGATGTCATTGTTATTGTTTATGAAACGCTGCTGACGCGTGTGATATATGTCACGCCTCACTTGATCCTGTGATGTTATCATGCTGTCTGACATCACACACTGGAGCGACGTGATGCCGCCGTCGTAAAGATGGGACTGTGTAGCGGCTCTGTGGCGCCACCTCTGTGTGAAAAGGTCTGTTGTGTCTCCCTGCAGCCATCCTGGTGTACAGAGTGTTTCGAAATGAGGCGAAGAGAAACGTAAAGCTGCTTCACGGCATCATTCACCTGCTGGCCCTCATCATCAGCATCGTCGGTGAGAGATGGGGAGTGTGTGTGTGAATAATGACAGTATGTGTGTGTCTGTGAGAGCGAGAAAGACGGACAAAAAAAGATACCTATTGTTTCTGTGGGTGTGTGTGTGTGTGTGTGTGTGTGTGTGTGCGCATGTGCGTGTGTGTGTGTGTGTGTGTGTGTGTAGGTTTTGCAGCTGTGTTTGATTTCCACCAAGCAGCAAAGATCCCAGACATGTACTCTCTACACAGCTGGTGTGGCATGGCAACCTTAGTCTTATTCTGCATACAGGTATACACACACACACACACACAGTATATTGTATATCTCTAGTGTTATGTGGACTCAAATGGTAACTAACTTTTCACCCCCCCTCTCCCCAGTGGGTCATGGGTTTGGTGTTCTTCCTGTTTCCTGTTGCGTCGTCATGGTTACGAGCCTCGTACCTCCCCGTTCACGTGTTCTGCGGTCTGGTTCTGCTGGTTATGGCCATCGGGAGCAGCCTGCTCGGCATCACGGAGAAGCTCCTCTTCAGCATCATGTAAGTCTGTCAGAAGCAAAATTAGTGGCACTGACATCTCCAGTTTTTACCGTTGCAAATTTGCATCACTGCCAGTCACAATACTTTTAATGTGAAGTATTCCAGACCCAAACTGGCCGAGGCGCTCTGAGCATGCTCCACAGTTTCCGCCCCGGGCTTTGACCCGGAAGTCCAATAGCATTAAATGTGTAAGAGAAGAAGAAGCCGCTAACAACATGGAGAAATCTACATCCAGAGCCGTGACTTTTTGGACGGACCAAATGTACAGAGCTGTAAAGTTGTCCACCATGGTAGCAGTTAGCTGCTAGCTAACCGTAGCTAACTTGTTTGTCCATTGTTTGGTCTGTGACGTAATGGGTCAACAGGAAAAAGGTCCAATACTAACAAGCTGAAAGGGGGCATATCTCCACCTATCGTAGAGGAGTCGCACATACTTGGCTCACGTACTGACTGTGTCTCCTTCTTTGGACCCAGGTCGACCTACTCTCAGCTGGTTCCAGAGGGGGTGCTGGCCAACATCTTGGGGATCCTGCTGGTGTGTTTCGGGGTGCTGCTCGGCTTCCTGATCACCAGAGAGGAGTACAGACGTCCACCGAACCCAGAGGAAGAGTCTCTGTCTGTCCATTTCAAGACCCTGACAGAGGGCGGGTCACCCACAATGCCTTGACCTCAGAGTGATGTCTAACACCCTCATCTGGATGCAAACAGTGTCCTGCCAACAGGCAAGCTGTCGCACCAGTCTCTGTCAATACCAAGTTACAAAGGCATCATCAGTTTAAACACACACGGCCGTGAACGTGGTCAGAAAAGACTGTTTCCAAATGTTTAGTGAAGTCAATAAAATCAGGGACAGGAAGTGGATCAGCCGACTTTCAACCCCAAATTATTTTTACTTTATTTCATTTGATAATGAACAGAAGTCCAGTCACTATAAAATAGTATCACAACAATCAGATTGAATAATTAATAGAGACATGGCGAGGGGTCTGGCGCTTCCTCATTTCATACGCCTTTAAGCAAAACTGACCAATCACAGCTCTTGTTCTCACCACATGGTGTCTCTGTAGTTACATTTTTGAGCATGTAAATGTCGCCTGTGTCGTGTACAGTTTAACCCCTACATGCAGTTTGAGAGTGCCTGTTAGTCCTTCAGTAACTGCAGATGTGCAGTAACTACAGCCTTCCACTAGAGCTCTGCATGATCCTGAAACTGAGACCCAAACCCTCTCGTACCTGAATCTGACCCAGAGCTTTATTTCTGCTTTACTTGACTTGTCACCGACTTTGTTGGAGCCATCAGGTCAGCCCTGAACACTGGCCACATGATGGTACTGGTGAAAAATAAAACCTATCAAATTCTGATCCTTTCTTTACGAATGTCACCACCGTTAATTCCATGAGTCCAAAATTAAACTTGGTTGTTTGTTGGGTTCAACTCTGTTGCTAGAAATGTCACGAGAACGGATACTTTGATACCATGTCGATGCCAAAATTCTGAAAACACAATGGTACAAGTCAAAACTGACAAAATGTCATGAACCCACATGGACTACGACTTTGCGTTCAAGGCGGACCATCAGGGATTAATTATAAAATTTAATATGTTTTTTAATCTCTCTAACTCCACCAGGACGCCGACGTCCTCGGTCTCCCAGACACACTACGTCATCAAACCATGTGATGTTTGGTATTGCCGGATTCAGGAAGGAATCAGGAATCACACCTGATTTCAATAAGGTACAATGTTTGAAGCTGGCTGAGTGTTGTTTGATCACTGATAGGACTGTTTTGAAGCAGAGTGACCCACTTGTCATTTGGAGCTCCGCCTGGATCTTTTCATGGTAAAAACACTGTAGAATGGTCATACTTTGAGCAGTCTTCTTCAAATTTGAAACAAGTGTTCATTGATAGTGTGCCTACAGCCCCACAGTGTCATTTACCTGCTCAGATGAAGCCACAGACAGTTATTCATCCTGAAAATCTTTTTTTTTTTTTTTTTTTTGTTAGGCAAAATCTTCAACTTTTTACTGACTTCAGAGGCCCATTACTCTGTCTCTGTATCACCTAGAGTGTTTCTGACACTTTCACAAGAAACTTCAGAGAGTTTTCTTTCTGGCAAGACCTCATGCATGCATGTAGTCAGAGCGGTTCAGAAGCTACAGTCATTTTAATTTGGGTATGTCATTTTAGGCGTTTTTGCTACAAAATGGGGGTGGAGTTCAAGATTAATAAAGGAGCGTATCCTAAAGTACATGTGATTCATTGTTTATTTATTATTGGTATGGAATTTGGTATCAGAGAATCTCTGGTACAGAGAATCGCAGAGTTTAACTGATATTGGTATCGACTACTAAAGTATGGTGACATGACTCTGTAACCCGACTGTACAATCAGAGAGGACTGAATGTTTCTGCCGTCTTCTCCAGAAAAACAATCTAGCTGATCACTTCAGGAGTCAAATTCTCCTATTTAACATTTAATTCCTATCATATGAATGATCTATATTCATCGACTTTATAGTTTTAATCCAGGACCATCAGTATTTGAATCAAAGCTCATAAAAAAATAAGACATGCCGAAGTTCGTAGTCAACTCTTCAGTGCACTGGATATGTTATGTATTTTGTTATTTTAACTGTGTGTATTGAGCTTCTTTGGCACAAACGTTTCTTTTTCTGTTGAATGAAGTTGTTGCTTTAGTTTTCACTGGGTGGCTGTCATTGAGGTAAATCAGTCTAATCAGACTGTATCAGCAGATAATCAATATTAACAGATCTGTTTCCTTTAATTAACATTTATGTAAACAGCAAAAATGTTTTTGAGGGAAATGTAGTGCTGAGTGAATTACAACATGTCAACATAATGAGGAAATGTTGCTAATTAACGTACCTACATGTAGGAAGCCGCAAAAATGTTATCTGAATGTATTAGGTTTGTTGACGACGTATTTCATTTGCTTTCCACCAAAATGGTGATCTGTAACACAGTATCCACTCATACTGACAACATTTAACCAAAATTAGGATCTTTCCCAAACCTTAACCAAAGTGCTTTTGTTGCCTAAACACAGAGAGGAGTCTGAACCTGGTTGACACTGTTGAACAGTTTGGCTTTGTTGCGCCCGGACCACACTGCCTGCGTGAGCAGTGTGTGACAGCTACCTCGCTGAACTGCTGCAGCTCGCACACATGTGGTGTTCACACAGGCAGGGTTGCTGCTGCCATAACTACTGTATTTCGAAAAATTAAAGGCAGGTACTTCACTTATTTATGTCAACAACACGATCCTGCAAATATTTAATAAAAAGCCTTGTGTAAACAAAAGTATTCTGTCCATAGAAACATTTACAGAGGGCTTTTATTTTGAAACAGAAACAGGAAGTCATTCATTCATTTCATTCAGTAACCACTTATCCTGTTCGGGGGGGGGGGGGGGGGGGGGGGGGGGGGGGGGGGGGGGGGGGGGGGGGGGGGGGGGGGCTATACCAGCTGACGAGAGGCGGGGGACATCCGAGACAACCCCCCCACCCTCCTCTTCTTATGAGGCGATAATGCTAACCACTGTGCCGCTCAAGAAAAGAAACAGGAAGTGTCAAGTTAAGATATTTCTTCTCATTGAAACTATAGTGACAGGTGATAAGATGACGATATGATGATCAAAAGATAATTTTTACTGTCCATGTTGTTGAAAATCGCACGTTACGTGGAAAAAACAGGGGAGACTTTGAACCTCCAAATGCGTCTGAGCAGCGCTGCTCACGCAGGCACTGTGGCCCATGCGTTACGCACTACGAGTCAAACTGATGCCAAACATTGCACTCACCAGTGACCATCTCCTCTATGTAGACATTTTTTTTTATTTATAACACATCTGCCATCTTGATTTTCACTACTTTTAATAAATCACTTAAAATAAAAAGATTAGAAATTAATAGATTTTTTTGAAAAGGACAAAATATCTGAATAATTCATCCCTGTGTACGTAAAAATGTAAAGATCCAGTCCTCATTAAACTGATGGATAATGTCTCCTAAATGAAATAATTTCTATCACGCTACCTTTAACGTCTCAACACTGTTAATGACACTAAAATAAAGTCTGTCCTTTTATTTGATGCCCCGCAGTATCGACAGTTTATCAGTGTTTCAAACTGCATTAAACACAGTGTATTAGGCTGTTTGTATTTAACTGTCATGTTGAATATATCTGTTGTGTGTGTGTGTTCAGATGTGTGTGTTTGGTTATTTGCAGCACTTTTACTTCAAGGTGTTAAATTCATATCTTTGAATGTGTTGAAGCAAACGATATATATCACATGTAGCTACAGTTTTTGTCTTGACTTCAGGACTCTGCACTAGTGCCTAATGCTAAGCTTTTACTGGAAATTACTGGACGTTGTTTGTCTTATGTACTTCTTGATAATTCCATCTTTGAAAGGGAAGTCTGAATCTCTTAATCTGTAAATAAAAATGTGTGAAATGACCGAGTGTTTTGGTCCATTTGTGTTTTTCTCAGATATAATTCCCAGTGTTGTTTTACTGTTTTATAGGTTTAAGAGTCTTAAAGGGACAGTTCAGTCCCAAGTCTAAACTACATATTTTCCTCTTACCTGTAATCTTTCTTATGTGTCTAGGTAATTTTGGTTTGTCTTGGTTGCAGAGTTTTGGAGATACCAGCTACAGAGATGTCTGAAGTCTTTGCAACATAATGGAGGTAGACTCTCAGCTTGTGGTGCTCAAATCACCCAAAAAAATAAATAAATAAAAATTGCAAAAGTCAACAGTTATGTTTATTTTGCAGAAATCATGACCCGGTTACTCAAAATAATCCACAGACCTTGTTATGAGCAGTTTGATGTAGGAACTATTTTCTTGCTGCCGAACTACACCTGCCAACTGTATCCCTGTGCAGAAGGAAGTGTGCATCTGCTCACCTAGCACCACTGCGCTAGCTAACGTTACAGCTCAGTCAAGGAGGACGCCATAGGAGTGTTAAAATGTGTTTGTCTTGTTGTGTTATTGGGAGCCAGAATAGAAGGAGTCATGGCTCAAAACCAGCCGCCACTGCCCGTCAACAAAAACAAAGACAACTATGGTTAAATGTGATAAGACCAAAGGACTGGACGGAGGCCATCATCAAAAATGCTCACATGTGCAGCGCACACTTCATATCAGGTTAGGGAAAAAGTATTTCCTGTTGTAGGGATGAATAAGGTTATGTGTATTAAGGGTTATCATGTCCACCTCATCAGAAACTGGGGAGGGATTAAGAGGAAGATTGGATTTCTCTGAAACGCTAACTTTTTAGCACATTAGCTAACATTAGCTTCCATAGCAAAACAAACAAGTGTGGTCCTCCTTTGTAAGATTGGCTTCCTGTGACATCATCCATCCACTGAGTGAGAGCATACGGGTCGGCCAGTCTGGTCCCGTTGGTCAGTGTTTACTTATTCAAGTAACACTGGCGGTCCCGGAGAGTGAGTGACCTGACATGGTGCGTTGGTAAATTCAGTCTGACGCTCTACACTAAAATGAGAGCCCTGTTGGTGGAAGAAACGCAGCGTTATATTTCTACATGAATGAACCAACGGTTAAGTTAATCACACATTCACTGCGCTCGGCGCTCTGCTGCTCCGTCTCCACAGACAGAGTGTCCAGAGTGCGCTCTGCCACTCTGAGAGTGCGCTGCTCTGGATAACCCAACGCTACATTCAGACAGCGCTCCCAATTTATCAACGCTCCAGTTTGTGTCAGAGTGCGCTCCCACACTCACAATGAGTGTTTCTGAACGCACCACTCACATCATCTTCCTCCATCGTCTAAAACAAGACAACACAATGTGCTAGCTAATGTCTGTGGAGAACTGTTTTGCCTCCAGCTAAGCCCCGCCCGCCAAAAAACATCATACTGTTTACTAACAATAGGGTCTGGTCACATGACTGTAAACAAGCTATTTGATGAAAAGGGAATGAGAACAGGTTATGGGTCAGGACCCAGCTGGGGCCAGATGTCAGTGGAAACTTTCTTTAGTCATGCATATTCTCTGATGTTCAAGAAACAAACAGTTTAAACACAGTACAACTGGTGTGTTCAGGGACTTTGGAGTCATCAGGGCAAATGTGCGTTCTGCCTGGTTGTAAATTTGCTTCACATGAGACCAGCACTGATGCTTATGTTTGAATTTTAGTCGGCAGATCAGCTGTGTTTTTGTGACCTCCTATAGATCTCTGTCTGCCTGCACACACAGATGAACTCCTCACAAGATACTGATTCTTTACTTAATATTAAAGTCAGTGAAACAGACGGATGGAGCGAGGCCAAGTCTCCCTGCTGGTATTAAGAGGAAATAAGAGGGACAGAGACAGAGACATGATGAAATTCACATCAGACGAGTTGCCAGAGTTTAGTGGATGAGAGGAAACATTTGGTGATTGGACGGGATTAGAGGATTACCGACACAGCTGACTGCATCAGCATCATCGCTCTGTCTTTGTGTCTCTGCGTCCATCATCTCCTGAACTGCACTCGCCAACAGCTGTGATCCAGTGAAGTGAGAGGACACAGACAAGTTAACGGTCCAGTATGGAGGTGTCAGGAGTCTTCATCAGCAGAGGAGGTGAGATGTTTGGGGGAAGGATGTGACAATGTTTCTGTCATGTGGACGTTGATTTTACTTTTCGTGTTTGTGTGATTTTAATCAGTTTATCTTAGAAATGTAAAAATGCAACAGCTCAACAGTTTGTTTTTTTTAAATTTTCCTTCAATTTTGAGTGTTGAAATTTGACCAATCTGGAAAAAAATTATGTTGTTTTCTTGATAATTCTGTCCATCATAAAGAAAATATTTATTAGAATTAATCGTGAACAAATTAGGAGTAAAAACAAGCCGTTCTGTCCCTGCTATCAAGTGAATAAGACATAAATGCTGAATGCTTTTAAACCACATCGCTGTGTGTGTCAGACCGGCCCACAGGATTTAATCCTTTCTGCTGCTCTGCTCTTAATGACTGTGATTATGTAATTACATTTGGAGGGGAAAGGAATGAAACGGATGAAAATCTGTGTTAAAAGGAGGAAAACAGTTAAGAGGAAGACTTAAAATCAGTCAGTTATGCAATGATGAAAATTTGGCGAATGTTTTTTAATGCTTGTACTTGATTGTAGAGGGCATGTGAGTGAAGAGGGGAAACTGGGGTCAAAGATTGTGTCAGTATTGAGCATATGTAGTGGTTTGGTTGAGGTTTAGCATATTAAATCATATTTAAATAAAAGAAGAGGTGCTGAAATATTTATGAAGTTGGGAATCGTCGGCAGGTTGCTCAATTTGAAGGTAATTGTGACTTAAACAGGATTTATACTTCTGCTTATGGCTTAGGCTCTGCATAGATGCGTACCCTACGCCACAGCCTGTCATGCACCTTCCCAGACTTGTAACCACATGTCACAGTGATGCAGACCTCTTGTATGTTTTTGTAAGCTGAAACCATTTCCTTCAGTGGTAATGAAGCTTTTATTTGCGTTTGTTTCATGGAAAAACAATAAATTGTGAAGACAATAAAGCCTCCACAAAAATAGACATTTTAAGTCTTGTGTGTGATTTATCCTGGCTTCATATGAGCAGAGAAAAACTCTGCTAGCCGCTAGGCTAATTTATACAATGTAAAATGCCATAGGCTTGTGCTAATAAAGTTAGCATGTTGTATTTGTTTATAAAACGTGTTTAGTATCAGACAGTTGTTTTGTCAGTGAACCTTGTGAGCTGTAATGGAGCTGAATTTTGTAACGTTACCTTTGTTAAATGTTGCTGTTGTCCCTGGTTTTATATGAGAAGAGGGAAAGTTTGCTAGCCACTAGGCTAATTTATACAATGTAAAATGCCATAGGCTTGTGCTAATAATGTTAGCATGTTGTATTTGTGGGGAAAATGTGTCCAGATAAAGACAAGTGTTTGTCTGTGAATGCTGCGAGTTATAGTGAAGCTGATTTGTGTTTGAAACTGTCTCTGTTAAGCCATGTTTACTGTGTGTTTAATGTGTGTGTAATGTGTGTTTAATGTGTGTGTAATGTGTGTTTAATGTGTGTATAATGTGTGTTTAATGTGTTTAATGTGTGTTTAATGTGTGTTTAATGTGTGTGTAATGTGTGTTTAATGTGTGTGTAATGTGTGTTTAATGTGTGTATAATGTGTGTGTAATGTGTGTTTAATGTGTGTATAATATGTGTGTTTAATGTGTGTGTTTAATATGTGTGTTTAATATGTGTGTAATGTGTGTTTAATGTGTGTGTAAAGTGTGTTTAATGTGTGTGTAATGTGTTTAATGTGTGTGTAAAGTGTGTTTAATGTGTGTTTAATGTGTGTGTAATGTGTGTTTAATGTGTGTGTAATGTGTGTGTAATGTGTGTTTAATGTGTGTTTAATGTGTGTTTAATGTGTGTGTAATGTGTGTTTAATGTGTGTGTAATGTGTGTGTAATGTGTGTTTAATGTGTGTGTAATGTGTGTTTAATGTGTGTAATGTGTGTTTAATGTGTGTGTAATGTGTTTAATGTGTGTGTAATGTGTGTGTAATGTGTGTGTGTAATGTATGTTTAATGTGTGTGTAATGTGTGGTTAATGTGTGTTTAATGTGTGTGTAATGTGTGTTTAATGTGTGTGTAATATGTGTGTAATGTGTTTAATGTGTGTGTAATGTGTGTTTAATGTGTGTATAATGTGTGTGTAATGTGTGTTTAATGTGTGTATAATGTGTGTTTAATGTGTTTAATGTGTTTAATGTGTGTGTAATGTGTGTTTAATGTGTGTAATGTGTGTTTAATGTGTGTATAATGTGTGTGTAATGTGTGTTTAATGTGTGTATAATGTGTGTGTAATGTGTGTGTTTAATATGTGTGTTTAATATGTGTGTAATGTGTGTTTAATGTGTGTGTAAAGTGTGTTTAATGTGTGTTTAATGTGTGTTTAATGTGTGTAATGTGTGTGTAATGTGTGTTTAATGTGTGTGTAATGTGTTTAATGTGTGTGTAATGTGTGTTTAATGTGTGTGTAATGTGTGTGTAATGTGTGTTTAATGTGTGTGTAATGTGTGTTTAATGTGTGCGTAATGTGTGTGTAATGTGTGTTTAATGTGTGCGTAATGTGTGTGTACTGTGTGTTTAATGTGTGTTTAATGTGTGTTTAATGAGTGTAATGTGTTTTTAATGTGTGTTTAATGTGTGTGTAGTGTGTGTGTAATGTGTGTTTAATGTGTGTGTAATATGTTTGTAATGTGTGTGTAATGTGTGTATAATGTGTGTTTAATGTGTGTGTAATGTGTGTGTAATGTGTGTTTAATGTGTGTGTAATGTGTGTTTAATGTGTGTGTAATGTGTTTGTAATGTGTGTGTAATGTGTGTTTAATGTGTGTTTAATGTGTGTGTAATGTGTGTTTAATGTGTGTGTAATGTGTGTTTAATGTGTGTTTTGAATCAACTAAACTTTACAGCACTTCACAGAAATCTTACCGCCAACTAGTGTGTTGGAGGTGTAACTGTAGAGTGACACAGACACTAATACACAAGTATAAATGCTCACAGTGGTGTACGCTATGTGTAGAGCTGATGCAAAACTATAGTTTGAAATCAACTCACCAGTCTGAAAACTCTCCTCCTGCTGACTTCTACTCACCAGCCATGCCGAGGCTTTCAAATGTAAACAACAGTATTTCAGGCCCTCCTTCCTCACTGTCTCCTCAGATATCTGTCAGAGATAAGACGACATGCTGCCCCGTCTTCTCTCCAAGAGATATATGAGGAGACAGTGAGGAAGGAGGGCCTGAAAGTCGTTGAGTCAAACCATGGGAGTGTGAGGTGAAGGGGTGTACAATATCTGGTGTAGGGCCTTTGTGTAGGACATCTGTGCAACACTTGGGTTTAGGGTGTCATGCAGTACTCTTGGGGTGTACAGTATGTATACTTTATGTTGATTGTAGTTTGATTTTGAAGTGTGTCGGCTGTATTCTCTTGAATGTCGAAGACAAATTTCTCCAGAGGGAGACAATAACAGTAAAGGCTGATCTGTCTTCTCTAAACATCAAGGAAAAGATGGAGAAGATGGGCTCCAGCTGAACTAACATCCTGCTAGCCATTGTACAGGCGTTGCAAAACAATCTGGACAATCTCCGTGCCGCATCAGTTTCAAAAGGGACACTGGGAACTGGAACATCCTTAGGTTCACTGAAACTTGGCTAAATCCTGCACTTTATGGTAAATAAGGACCGGTGTGACGTTGGAAATGTGAGGTGCTGTCCTGTTCCTGCTCTGGATCGCTGCTATAGGTTTGCAGAGGCGGCTACAGACCAGAGTTGCTACCTGTGTTCAGAGGGTGTGACCACGAGGCCATCTTGTTGAGATCAAGATATGTTAACAAACTATGAAGCATGATGAACAGATGGAGCCAATCAGAGTGGAGCTTGTTCAAGAAAACATTGGCGTCAGTGGATTCAATCTTTAAAAACAGACATGACTGTTGTGACTCCACAACCGGAAATGTCCAGAAATGTCGACAATTATAAAGCAGCAGCCAACAAGACGTAGACGTAAAAAGGGACTAATTTACATGAACAAGCAGAAGAAGCTGATGGATCACATTTCACTGGAGTTGTACCTTGTATACTTCAATGTGACAAATGGTGCTGTCCCGTTCCTGTCCTGGGTCACTGCTGTACATCATTCGGAGGCAGCTGCAGAGCAGAGTTGCTACCCGTGTTCGTAAGGTGTGTCTATGAGGCCATCTTGTTGAGGTCAAGATATGTAAACGAACTATGAAACATGCCCCAAGTGACACGACACAATGTCAACATCACCAAGGACATCAGTGAACTCAGTGGGTCTCTGGTGGATTCAATTCGTAAAACAAAAGACGAGACTGTTCCCAAAACTACAGTTAAATCATCTGCAACCAGAAACATCTGAAAACATGGACGAATACAGAGCAGCAGCCGACAAGACATGGACGCAAGAAGACTTAGAAAAGTTAGATTAGAGTTGTACCTTGTATGACTTTATGTGACGAACAAATGATCAGTTGATTATTATAAATGTCGCCACCACAGATTGTGAACTAAAAACTCTACTTTCTTATTTCCAGGCTGACTGTGGCTCTTGGAGAAGAGGAGCTTCATTCATCTTTCCAAACATTAACTCCTCCTCTGAACGAGCTGCCCTCCCTCCTCCTTCTCTTCCTGTTGTCCAGGGAAATATGTGTCTCCTCTTCCTGGCCTTTGCCTTCCTCCTTCTTGCCTGTTATTCCCCGCCGTCCCTTTTTCCGTCCGCCGAGGGCTCGCGGTCGTGTCCACACCACTGCATTTGTTACGAGCACGCCGACCTGGTGGACTGCCGCAGCCTTGGGTTCGAGCGCGTTCCCAGGGGCCTCCCACACGGCACGTGGCTGCTGGAGCTGGGAGGGAACAATCTGAGCGAGATCGGGACCCGAGCCTTCACTGGACTGTGGTCCCTGCGGGTGCTGGTGCTGACCAACAGCCAGATAGAAGAAATACAACCACAGGTAGGAGCGACGGGGCGGAGGAACTTTCAAAGCAACCATTTTCTGGGGAAAGTTCCTGAAAATTGCACCAGGAACATTTGAAAGAATGAACTTTGGAGCTGTTGTACGAGAGGTATAGTTGAAGTTAATGTGCCAGTCAAAGCACTGATAGGATGTGAAGTGGCAGCTGAAGTGTCATCACTGAAAGCAGTTGAAGGGTTCTTTTCTACATTTGGAGGGACACATTTTAAGCAGGCAGCTCTCCTCCAAGAAATGGTGGTAATTTTTATTGCACCAATTTATGGTGACAATGTTGTGGTACTTTCTGTTTCAACCATGCAGTTTCTTCTTCTGCTTTCCATTTCATGGCAGTTTGCAGCTGCAGTTTTTGAGGTTGCACACTGCCACCACCTACTTAACTGGAAGCATTGTTGCACCTGTGAGTCCTGTGCAGCCCGTGAGTGCGTCCTAGCAGTTTATCCTTCACTACTTTGTCGTTTTAGTGTGAGGTGTGTGTTCGTTGCAATACTTGTAACACTCGTTTGATTAAAGGTTTTGATGTGAATATATATACGCCTGCAGCGAGGTGAATTTGCAACAAGTACCGTGTCAGTTTGAGGTCAGTTATTGTGCAGCCTGAACTTCTGTTAGATATGTTTTTGAGTATTCTCTGAGTGAATTTTAATGTGTTCACATTAAACGCAATGGGATTTTTTACCTTGCATTACTTGCACGAGTGTGAACGCTAGAATATTTCATGTTGACTCACTTCATATGCACGAAAAACTTGCGTCATACATGGGGGATATCGCTGAATCAATAAATGAACTTTCACCAATATGTCCTCAGCATTATACGTCACTGGTTGATCTCAATGCTGATTGGCTATTGCAGCACGAATTGGTCACTGAAGTTCATATTTTTCAACTCTCGCAAATAAGTTTATAACGCAATATAAAGAAACTCGCTAATACACGTCACACACGTCACATTGTGTCCATCACGTCTTTACATTGACTTTTTATGTAATTCACAAATAGTTTCATTTGCGCTCAGTGTGAACAAAACATCAGAAAGTTGTAGTGTATATGTCTAGGGCTTTTACTCTGAAAGGTATAAATGGAAGTAGATTTGGTATGGGCTGCCTTTGTCCCATAGATGTAAAAGAGAACGGAATACAGTTGGCAGGACTGTGTTCATTTCTATGGGAGATGCTCAGTGGCGCTTTAAGCTGAAACATTCAAATGCTGCTTATTAAATTACTCAGATGATGCTGTTTGCGCATCATTGGGCCCATAGAGCGGAACAGCACATACGTTTTTATTTTCTTTTGACCATTTATTTAAATTCTGCAATACAGTTGGATGGAAACCAAACTAGGATGTGAGGGAAGATGTATGCTGTATAGTTACATGTGTCCTTCTCTCTGTCTTTCTTTCTTTAAATCTCCACAGGCATTTTTCTCTTTGTCCTTCCTGGAGAAACTGGATCTCAGCTGGAACCAGTTAACGTCTCTACCTGTCGACTTTTCAGCCAGTCTGTCTGCGCTCAAAGAGCTGCGACTGGAACACAACAACTTACAGCACATATCTGGATACAGGTACCTGTCTGTCCTCCGCCATCGTACTCCAGACACCACCTGCCCAGCACCAAACGACAGGCAGACAAAGTTAGCCACTAGGTAGGAAAGCAAGTGGAGCATTTAGCAGCTAAAGAGACAGATGTGTCTCGGGAGGTGGTGGAGACCAAAAACAGAGCTAAAAGAGTGAGAGTGGTGGACTGACATTTATCAGGTGGACATCCCCACACCAGTTTACCATGAGTGGATCAGATAGAGACACCACCTCATTATCGTCCTGCTGCAGGACAGCAGACGTGATTTTGTGAGACAATGTAGGACACACACACACACACACTCAAGAGAGAGAGAAACTACTATTATCAGCGTCTGTGTCTCACCCTGTCATGTTCTCTCCCTCCTTCTGTCAGCTTGGAGTATCTGGACAACATGGAGAAACTGGACCTGAGTTATAACCAGCTGGTGATGGTTGGCCCCGGTGTGTTCAGGGGCCTCTCCAGGCTGAGACAGCTCTACCTGCACAACAACCGACTGACTCTGGTGCAGCAGGGCAGCCTGGATATGCTGCCTGGACTGGAGGTGAATATGTGATGCTGAAATATCGTGTAGATAAAGCTCAGTCGCACACTGCTGCACATTTCTGTAAACCACAAACAGGTTTGCATGTTGAGGCATCAAGTGTGGGTGTTTTCAGTGGTTGTGCCACCAAAACTGGGTATTTTAAGCCGAAATATCATCTCCTAACACCCAAGTTTTAATGTCAAGTTTTAATGGCAATGCCAACATTTATTCTGGCGACTGGTTTAGTGTATCCCAAGTTACTTGTCTGTCTGTCTGATCACCTGTCTGTCTGTGTAGGTGCTCCAGCTGAGTAACAACAACATCTCTCAGATCGACAATGATGCTCTGGCGCCTCTCTACAGCCTGGCCATCCTCGCTCTGGAAGGAAACAACCTGCATCACCTAAAGTTTAAGACCTTCATCAGCCTTCATACAACAGCGACACACATCCAGCTGTCAGGTGTCAAATGTCTTAACCACTGTTACTGCTACTGTGTTCTCATTAAAACATGTATCACGGCTGCAGACGCGTTGTGTGTTGTTATGTGATGCGTGCAGTGTTGGCTCCCAGATGGCATCTGACAATGAACATCTACCGTCCTGCCAGTGAGAGCAATACGCACAGGGCCAGATGGCTTTAGGAATAATGATGCACTTAATGCACATCCAGCTCATGGCCTCTCTCTCATAAGCCTCGTATCCCACCCTCTGTCTGTCAGCTGTGACGACCGGGTGTCGTGTCATTGTTCAAATCCCAACAGTCTGAAAAAATATCCCACTGAGAGCCTGGTATCATGAAATAAACATGTTGCTCCAAAGGGCCAAAAATATAGCAAAGGCATGACCCACCCTGCTCTGCCCTGATGTTTTCCACCAATATTAGCGCACATATAGAGGTTGGTTGTTTTTTTTCAACATTGGAAAAACCCATTAAAAACAGGTGATACATTTCTTTCCAACTGCCTCTCAGTCACAAACACACTGGAAAACAGGTTAGTAAACAGTGTAGAGCAGCACAGAGGCCAGTGAAATGTGATGATGGTTACTTCCTTTTAAGGCCCGGACACACCAAACTGACATCAAAGAACTAGCAGCGACGAAAGCCAACTGTTGCGTCGTCTACGTCGCCTCACGTCGCCCTGTGTCAGTTGCATTTGAACACACTACACGGACTACATCCGACGGCCAAGTAGCACGTACGTTCTGCGCCTGCGTGAGAGAGAGCGGAGTGAGAGAGTGGTACATCCTGTCAGCCGAGGGGTTTCCTATCTGTGCAGCCGAGCACCGCAGCACCTCCACGGACTATTACATCCAGACGGTCCCGGTGTTTCCTCCTCAGGCTCCACTTCACTCAGCTGCCCGATAAACCCGCTGCTTCTTCCCACTTTAACCTGAATAACAAACCAGGGCTCGGTGCTCCGGTTGGATCCAAACGGAGAGCCGGGGCTAGCTCAGAGACTAGCGGAGGCTAACTGGCTGTGCTTCCCTCCGGTCATGCTGTGGCTAACGCTCCGCTAGCCGCTCCCAGCTAGCTCCGGTTTGTTATTCAGGTTAAAGTGTGAAGAAGCAGCGGGTCTGTTGGGCAGCTGAGTGAAGTGGAGCCTGAGGAGGAAGCACCGGTTAGCCCCGGTTTCACTACAGGCAGATTCACTCGCTACAGGGGCGAGGAAATAAAACCTGAACAGCCAATCAGAGTGATCTCTCTCACCGACAAGCTCCGCCGCCGATTCAACATGCTCAATCGGCCAAAAAGCCGCCGACGCCAAAGTGCTGACGGTACGGGACACACCGCAAAAACTAGGCCGACAGACGCTCACAGACGGCCCGACTTTGGTCGACGGCCGACCGTCAGCTTGGTGTGTCAGGGCCTTTATATCTGTTACTTCAGTTCCTCATCAAAACTCGGTGCAGACTAAGGGGTTGTAAACATGCCGCGTCTGTAACTGCCAGGTCGAGTGCTGGGTGCTACTTCTGTGCTTTTTCTGTGCCAACTGTCAAGGGTGCAGAGGCTGGTTGCGTCTGAGGTTTCAGAGTGACCATAACCAGCACTGTATCACAGCCCACTGAATAGACACCCTGAGGTCAGAGCTGATCTACTTCCTGTGTGTCTGTGGGACAGATGTGACGCTCTGACAGCTCTGCACCAAGATGATCAACTCCTCCTCCATATTTATCACACACTGATATTTACTGAGGAAGGAAAGATATCTGTGGGCTGTGATTGGTTGGTCCTCGTCACATGACATGTGGTGCATGCTGCTGCGTTCCAAAAGCTGAACTATTTACTCTTTTGTTTTTCAGGTCAAAATCGTCTCACACTTTTGTATTATCGTTTTCATTGATCTTTACATTGACCTTCTCGTTGCTCCTCCAGGCAACCCGTGGAGCTGTGACTGCGACCTGCATCGCGTCTTCAGTAAGATCCTGCACGTTCGCCACCTTCACATTGACGACTACCGCAACGTGACGTGCCAGGATCCACCGCAGCTGGCGGGGGCTTCGCTGGCCTGGGTGGACAGCCAGCTCTGCATCGCAGAGACCGCCACCGTACTCGTCATCACTGTCACTGTGCTGGTTACCGTGGTGGCGGCTTTGGTGATGGCAGAGAGGAACAGGAAGAGGAACAGTGGGAAGAACTGGGACACTGAGTCACAGAATCAAAGTTAGAGCCGTCTGTCCTGAGAGTCGTCCTCACAAACAGCGAGAGGATGAGAGCTGACATATATGTCAAAAAGAGCATACAAATCTGGGCCCTGTAAATGTGAAGAGGTTCCTCTTTCTGTTTTAATAATTTCAATATCATTCAGTCAACTAAATACATCATCTGTAATGGTTACTGGGAACATCAGAATCAGAATTAGATTTGTTACCAAGTAGGTTTTCATTCAGTGTGTTTCCATGACGACAGAGGAAATGGATTTATTGTGTCAGTCTTATTAAACCCCTGTAAACATGTTAGTGTGAGTGAAATGGTCCTGCAGTGAATGTGTCACAGTGGGACTAACACACCCAGATCATGTGACTCCTGCATGTATACAGTCAGTCAGACCCAAACTGGCCGAGGCGCTCTGAGCATGCTCCACAGTTTCCGCCCCGGGCTTTGACCCGGAAGTCCAATAGCATTAAATGTGTAAGAGAAGAAGAAGCCGGTAACAACATGGAGAAATCTACATCCAGAGCCGTGACTTTTTGGACGGACCAAATGTACAGAGCTGTAAAGTTGTCCACCATGGTAGCAGTTAGCTGCTAGCTAACCGTAGCTAACTTGTTTGTCCATTGTTTGGTCTGTGACGTAATAGGTCAACAGGAAAAAGGTCCAATACTAACAAGCTGAAAGGGGGCATATCTCCACCTATCGTAGAGGAGTCGCACATACTTGGCTCAATAAATGGATTCCCCTCCCGTGCTTGTATACTGGGACAAGGACAGTAGGCCAGTTAGATGTCCTCGTCCAGCTGGGACTGTAGAAACACTTCACTGTGACTGGACTGACTGGAATCTCCTTTGGTTTTTGGTGCGTATATTAAACAGACAAAAAAACAAATTACCACATTTAATGGTACTAAACAAATGTGATGTGTTTGAGTCTTTGTTTCTGATTATTATTCAGCCAATAACAAAAATACTTGACAGTGATGACATATTTAAAAACATCCAAATACATTTGAAGCATTCACCCCACAGTCTGACAGTCGGCATCAGACAGAGTCCTTTATGAGGACCATATGTGTGTGGACACCAGAGGATTACTGCTGGACTACTGGAGGGACAGAGACAGAGTGAAACAGTCCTATTGAGGTCAGAGGCCAGATGTCAAGATGATTACTGCTGGACTTTATTAAACGTGTGTGTGTGTATGTGTATGTGTGTGTGTGTGTGTGTGTGTGTGTGTTTGGGGTATTAAAGAGACAGAGACCAGACAGACTGATTGTCTCTATCCTTGAACTGCAGGCTGTTCTCCCAAATTTTCATATGTTTTCCTACAAAAAGCAGCGCACTCATATTAATACATGTTCCATGTATTTTGAAAGGCTGACATCACGTGACCAATGTGCTGACGGGAGTAAACAGGAAGTAGTCCTGAGTGCTTGTAAGGAGTCAAAAAAACTGAAAGATGAGCAGCAGAAACCAAACAGTGCCACATCGACTTTAAAAAATTAAATTAAAAACTTTTTGAAGGTTTCAAACTCCTAGCAAAATGTTCAGGCTGCTGTCACAGATTCTTCATATGTTTTCTTATGAAAAGCAATGCACCCTAATTCGTACGTATCCCTGCGATCACGTGACCAACGCACTGACAGCAGTAAACAAAGAAGCAGTCCTGAGCGCTTGAATGGAAGCAGGTTAGGTTGGTGGATGGGTCACAGAAAAACTGACTCACTTGAATTATTTATTTCAAAGTTAAATGTTGGTGTTCCACAACACTACTGACGTAGTGCTTTTATTTTGACTGTATGCAAACTGTACATTTCCTGTGAAAACAGAAGTGTATTTTGAAAACAGACAATGCATGTAACAGGCTGAAGTTGACACGGCGTCCCAGAACATCAACAACCAACACACCCAGGGTACCTTGGACGTCATATGTGGACGTGGAAAGTCCATGACCAAACGTGGACATGTGACGAGGTCACAGTGAGGATGATGATGGCTTAATATCTCTGGCTTGTAGGGAACAGCAACACCCTGCAAGTCCCCGCTGTGGGACGAATAATAAATCATCTTATCTCATATTACTTGTTTTAGAAGTGATATAAGATATAAGAACTGGGTTCAGAGCGTTTAACTGTTTCCTTAACATCAATTTACAGAAAATAAAAGTCATAAACACAAGAACAAAGGTCACTCACTGACATGAAGAGAGGTCTCCAGCTCACAGACAAAACACTTCTTCTTCTTCTTCTTGGTTTTATGGCGGGAGGCAGCCAGCGTTAAGGTGCATCACCAGCACTTAGTATGTTGGGAGTGTAGACCAGATATTTTTGGAACAGTCTTCCAACACCACACTGAGTTCGTCCACTCCCAGCTTCCTTGTCTCCATCTTTAATGTTCACGTTCTTGGGAACACTTTGGGCAAAACTACATGTTCCTCTGATTCCTCTGCGTGACAGCGCTCACATGATCCTGAAGGATGTTTCAAACACCAGGATGAATCCACCAGCAGCTTTAAATACTTCCTGGTTGAACCACACTGCTAACAGCAGGGGTGAAATCAAACTGACAGTTGAAGCTGTTAAGAATGTATGTCACTTCAGTTCCTCCTTCGAGGTATTAAGATGTACAGAAATGTTACAGCACATTATTCAGATTGAAGTTCAGTTACTGAGTTTGGGAAGAAACAAAATGTAAAAAGAAAACCAACTGATTCCTCCCCCATCACATGGTTCCACTTGGTACAGTCCAACCTGCCAACACCTAGGGCACGTTCAATCTCACAATGTAAAACCATTCAGCTACAGTTTCCAAGGCTGCAACTTGAGTCTCTTTAATTGCATAAAATGTCCAAAAAAGTCAACTTTTTGTTAAAATAAAATGTCCAAATAATATTATCAAAATATCCATAAAAATGAAATGTCTGAAAAATATTTCTCAAAAAAGTCCAAAAAATGTTGCTGACATATAAAAAAAACATATTAAAATGTCAGAAAAAATGTTTTCATGTTGCAAAAAAAGTCAATAAAATGCATGAAAAATATTAATAAAATGTTGATAAAATGTATGTTTATCAACTGAAGTGGATCCTAAATGTTTCCCTGAGAATCACCTGTCTCCAAACCACATATTCACTTCCAGTAAAGGAGCGTTTGACCTGACTGGAAAGGGTGCAATGTGAACTTGTAAAACCCGGGATGGATCAGTGCCAGGTTCATCTCACTGGGTCACAGGTCTGTGACGGACTGTTTTTGTTTCAGCAGATCTGAGGACAAACTGTTTCCTGCAGCCTCTGACCTGAACAGTGTCAGTGCTCCCGCTCTGAGGACAACACTGCTCCGGACTGTTTGGAGGAACAGCAGCAGCTCCTGTTTGTGTTACTGTCATCATTGTTTTTAAACTCTGGCATCACACCGAGTACGTTCACGCACAGACCCAACAGTGACAATGACAACTGCTACAGGATCTCCAAGAAAAACGTTGATTTTGGTTGGAAACAAACAGTGATCTTCAGCTGAAGTCCTACGTTTTGTTGACCCATCCATCGTCCACGCCTTCCTCCCTGTGCAGACTTTATAATAACGTCACCTGACTTCATCCTTTGCCCCCGTCATCATAACTGCAGCCATTAGGGGGCTCTATCATCACTGCAACATAAACGTGTCGTTTTCAGGAAGCAAAAACAGCTCTTGTTGCACCTCAGTCCTTCAAACATATTGTCTTTGAAAAATCACCTCATGTCAAGTTTTTCTTTGATATATTACTGGATAACACTTTATATTAAGGTACTGTAATAAGCGTTAATTAATGCTTAATAAGCACCAATTAACAGTTAATGAGCACTTATAAGACAGAATAAGCTCATTACCATTAATAAGACTATATAAGTGTTAATTATAGCATAATTAACATGTTTTTTTTTACCTTTAAACTCATCCAGGAGGATGAGTTTAAAGGTAAAAAAAGAGACAGAATACATCAGGACAAAAAGTCGAAAGTCAAAGACATTTGAAATTTTCATCGACTAAAATGTGACTTTAGATAAGGTAAGGTAAACGTTATTGTCCCCTATGGGAAATCCATCTTGGGCACAGTGCTACATTTCATTGCTTCACAGGACAAGATAAAAACATCATCACAATGACAGTTCTATCACATAAAACAGACATGGACTACATTTAACAATCACAACACAGAAACATACAGAGACGTCTAAAGTGCAAGAAAAAGTAGCACGAGCCCGGGTCGCTGCAGAGCCGCGCCACCGGATAATTAAACTAATAAACATTTTCAACTGAAGACTCAGACTACATCTAAAATAGCTGTCAACATTAACAGTGTGTGTGTGTGTGTGTGTGTGTGTGTGTGTGTGTGTGTGGTAGGCATGAGTTAGTCAAACAGATTTTGTAACAGAGCAGCAGGTGGACTTTGTCTGCTGAGCACAGAGACACTTCAACAGGATCCTGGCAGAGTGTATCAGAGCTGAATAACCCTCAGCAGGAAGATGAGCTCCACCGAGGTACCTGTCTGTCCATCTGTCTGTCTGTCTGTCTGTCTGTCTGTCTGTCTGTCTGTCTGTCTGTCCGTCTAACTGTCTGTCTGCTCCTTAATGTGTCAGATGTTTTCCGGTTACAGTTTTTGGTTTCTTTGTCTCACAGATTCGTCCTGTTGTTGTTATTCTGACGGCATTATGTGTGACCGGTTTGGTCGAAGCCGGCCCGGTGCACTCAGTAAGTGAACTCACCTTTGACCCTTGACCCAATGTAATCACACAGAATTAGGTGAAATGACCAGAAATTCCTAAAACCACATTACGTGGCAGCGGCACTGTTGAGTTTAGGCGCCAAAACTACTTTGTTCAGCGCATTCTCACTGCGACCTCGTCACATGTTTGGTTGTTACGTTTAGCCAACACACACATGTGGTTGGGTTTAGGACAAACAAACAGGGTTTGGCTTTAGAATCTTACAGGAAGTGAACACTGACCTCCTGATGAAAGTCGGTGGTTGTTGGATACATCCAGCACCTCTCTCGCCCACCCTACTCAGACTTCCGCCGCCTTAAGTTTTGTTGTTGGCATGCTGCGTTTACCCTGACACTAACAGCAACCGGCTGGTTTTTGATGACTTCGGAGTGAGACCAGGATGCTTTGTTAGGTTCAGAAAAAGATCACGTTTTTGGTAAAAAAAAATGATGCTTGTTACAGACAGACATGAGTTTCTCATAAAGTTACGTAATTATGTCCCAAACAGGTGAAGTTAAAAGAAGTCCACACTGACTTTTAGTTTTACACAGGACACAAGCAGTAGTCTGCGGGGTGAAAATCCTGTGTTTGTTTGACTCGTCCACCTCCTGACCTTCTCTCTACACAGACTGACTACATGTCGCTGTGCATCCGTGCCTCATGTATTCTGGACGTTACACTGACTGAACATAACCTCTGGTCTCTGCCTCTCTCCACAGATCCCTCGTCAGAGAGCAGCCAGACAACAAGGTGTGTTTGTATCCATGTGTCTGAGACAGAGAGATGAAGTGGGGTTGTGTGAGGTACCTATCCACAGTCAGTGTGTGACCTACAGTCGATGTCAGTCACACAACCCCACTTCAAAAACTCTCTCTTTAAAACCAGCATTTCATGTGTTGTGCAACATGACATGGAAACACACCTGACTGAGATGTGACTCTGTGTCCCAGGAGGCGCTGTTCTCTTTTACGCAGCCTTCCAGGGCTCTCTGAGAGACATCCTGTACAACCCAGTCATCTTCAACCAGGTGGTGGTGAACCAGGGCTCGGGCTACAACAACGACACGGGAGTGTTCACCGCACCTGTCCCTGGCATCTACCAGTTTGTGTTTGCTGCCCAGCTGTGCCGCGGAGACCACGACAATTCCTGGCGCTTCATGGTCAACGGGGTCCACAGCATGTCCTGCATCGCTCAGGTACACAAAACTGAACTAGACTCTAAAAATACAGATACAGATAACATCAGAGGGCTGCAGCATGACGTGGGACCCACACAAATCTCATGGGAGCAGGTGTTTTTTTAACTTTGCTTCAGGTCAGAGCAGGCGGTCAAAACTTAAGCTGTTGGTTGCACAGTTCATTGAAATACAAGGCCCTGGTGTGAACCGGCAGCTTTTTACAACGTTACAGAACGGAGCGTTGACAGCAGTTGTTTGTTTGAACTCATCTCGTCTTGAATCTTTGGTCTGAATTCGGCTTTACTGTGCTGCTGATGAGAGTCTGTAGCTGTGCGGCGGCTCTTTCTTTGGCTCAGTGTGTTTTCAGTCTCACCATCGTCCTCATTCATATCGAAACCAAAGTGGCTCCAAACAGCAGACCTGTAGGTTATTGGAGGATCTTCTATTTCCAGTCTGATAATGGCGTTACTGACCATCTTGTAATGAACTATCTTAGCATAGGTGTTTCCCAGAGTAGCTGTGTCTCAATTCAGCGGCTGCAGCCTTCAAAGGCAGCATTTGAAGACAGATTGCGTCACATTGGCGCGACCAAGGCCGTCCCAATTCAAAGGCTCCTTCAAATGCAGCCTCTTTCCCAGAATTTGGAGGGTGCAACGGACTCATGGTGCGTTCGTGTTGTACTCGGAGGCTCGAAATTCCCAGTTCCCAGTGGGAAGTTTAAACTTGAACGCGCCCTGAGATCGGATTTCCAACTCAGAAACTCGGAGCAACCGCATCAACCCCGACTTACGCATTCAAGATGGCTGCCGGTCACATACATAGTCAGTCAACACTCTGCTAAAGTACTGTTTATAGCAATTTTATCTTATTTGTTTTACATCAGGTCAGCCTCAACTGCAGCGTTCATCAGTTGGAGTGCATGATGGTTTTGAAGCTGTCTATACTCCCAAAGTGTAAGAGCAACAAAGGCTTTCTTGCGGGCGTCCATGTTTTTTTCCAACTTGTCCACCGTTGTCAACTAGTATGCAAAAACTGTTGTCAACTCGGAGGTGACGTCATTCCCACTTCCAACTTCCAACCTCCGAGTACAAAAGAATGCACCAAAATCCTTCGAGGCCCAGCCTATCCCAAGATGCATTGAGCGCTGGTGATGATCATATGTTACGTTCACTAACAGTGGTTGAGTAGCTAACGGTTAACTCTTGTTAATATTACTCTTAGCTAAAAGCACACAGCTTAAACAGTCTTAATTGAATAAGAAAACGGCGGTATCTCTGGCGGTGAATCATCTCCTCAAGGATTAAATAAAATAACAATCTCTGGGTCCATATTTTACAGCTAACTGACTTACTAGCTTACTCCCTCTTTCTTTAAACACAGCTGGTTGCTAGGTAACAGGAATGCTAACGGGTTGAGGCGAGAACTGATAAAACTGGGAAATCTTCGCAGACTAGATTGTCCCATTTCGGAGACCATTCGGTTTGGTTGAAACCAAAAACCAAACCAAAATTAGACAAACTAATTTGTTGTCTCTGGTAAAAACTTTGAGGGTCTACTGGAAAGGGTTGGCTGATTTTGAAATAAAGCTGAGTAACAGAACAATCTTCCCCTCCTGTCCTCCAGGTGTCTGGTCTTGACACAACCCTCAACACCTGCTACTACATGAAGGAGCTGAAGAAAGGCGACCAGGTGTGGGTGAAGCAGGAAGTGGGAAGCTGCGCCTGGGCCAGCACCATCTCCAACACTATCACCTTCTCTGGTGTCCTGCTGGCGACTGAGGGTGTGTCCACGCTGGGAGGGAAGTATAGCTCCTGTCCACTGCCCAGCCTGGGACACAGCAGGGACATTGTGCCCCCCTCTGCAGGCTGCAGAGTGTCTCTGGACAGTGTGGCCTTCGCTCTGTTGCTCTGCTGCCTCCTCTGGGATTAATGAGAGCCAACACACAGACACCTGCTGTGTATTTTATAAGCTATGACTTTATGCTGTTTGATTATTCAAAGGTTCCAGATCTACTTGATGTTTTCTTCCTTTTTTAAAGTGTCAAACTTTCCAACTCGGTCTCACTCCGAAGTCGCTGAATACCTGCGCGTGGTCAATCCGACCAAAATTCAACATCTGTCCAACGCAAGAGTCCAATGTCTCTCTGACGTCATACTGACGTGCGTTGCCAGCTGGGGAGTTGATAAAAATGTTGATTCACTCATCTGAGTCGTTTTACCGTGCGCTCAAAGAAGTGACATTATCAAGCAGCAGCAAGTGTCTGACAGATCTTGTTTGCCCTGAATACCAGGGAGCCTGTCTTTAAGATAAAGTACGATAACAGCAGTTTTCTCATTATTTACTGCACAGATTTTTGGATCTGTGACAGAAACAAAAACTCTGCCTGTACAGCGACTGTACACACACTCAGGGTACCTTGCACATCATATCTCGATGTAGAAAGTCCATGACCAAACGTTTATATGTGACGAGGTTGGAGTGAGAATGTGTTGAACTTAAAGTGTTTTCTTTTCTTTTTGTTCGACATTTAAAGGTTCAGTGTGTCAGATTTCACGAGATGTTAATGGCGTCTAGCGGTGAGGATTACAGATTACAACCACTTGAAACTTTATTCAGTGTTCATCGATATATATATATCACTTTATTATTGTCCAGTTTGGGACGTCAGACTGTTCCTGCAGACAAAACATTATGGAACATGGAAAATTCATGCAGAGTTTCTAAATGAACAAATCACAGACTTTTAGAGATGTTGTATTATTTGAAATTTAGTTTTTGCACAACAGACATTGAAATAAACGGATTTATACTTTATGACACACTTGTAATTAATAAGATTAACCCAATGTCCTCATTTGAGGACATCTTACTTCCTGTTCAAAAACAGCGTTTAGTTTTTAGACTCATCAGGTCCGACTGATCCCAAACAGCTGTGAGACATTAGACATGTGTACCAAACTAAAGCTGAAGGTCTCAGGAGGATTAAAGGTTCATTATTGTTCATTATTGTTTTTAAATATCTGTTTTGGTTTTCATAAACTCCTGAGTAATAAAAAGAAAAAAAAAGTGGCTCTTATTCAGTGATGTCATAAAAATATTGATTTACACAGCTGTAATATTTGGCTTTAAAATCACCCTGATGTTTCTGTTTCTTATCTCAGTTACTGTGTTGATGTTGCATGTATGCATCTGTTGAAATCTACAGAGCCCCTTTAAGGTCAAGTCAGGAGATTTTTTTTGGACTGACTTTTGCGTCCCCTCGCAATACTTTCTGCGTTACCTTGCAATAAATTTGGCGTTCCCTGTTCCCAGGAGCTTACTTAATTAGGTTCCCGAACCTAATTAAGTAAGCTACTTACAACGGCATGAAAGACAATAATAACAACACTACAGTTTAAAAAGAGATCTCACCAGATTTATACAAGTTTATGTTGGTCACTGATCAATGCGGGCATCTAAGAGGAAGTGACAGTGGTGGCTCATGGGAATCCAAAACGTTATTGCAAGGGAATGCAAAACTATTGCGAGGGGGCACAAAAGTTATTGCGAGGTAACGCAATGTATTGCGAGGTGACACAAAAGTATTGCGAGGTAACGCAATGTATTACGAGGTAACGCAAAAGTATTGCAGGGTAACGCAATGTATTGCGAGAGGACACAAAAGTATTGCGAGGTAACGCAAAAGTATTGTGAGGTAACGCAAAAGTATTGCGAGGTAACGCAAAAGTATTGCGAGGTAACGCAAAAGTTAGTCAAAAAAAAAAAAAATCTCCCAACTTGAACTTTAAGGGGCTCCATAGAAATCTACAGTAAAATAAAATCACATTTGTTTTTGAATTTCTTGTATTTTACCGACATGTTTGTTGTGGCGTTCGGGTCAGTTTTAAGTTAATGTGCATGAACACTGACTGCAGGAATTCAGCTGAATCAGTGTTGACGTTCAGTGAAGAGCTGAAGTCAGTGTTGTAACAGTCCTCACCGTCCAGCAGGTGGAGACACCTGACTGATAATGTCCATACATCCTGAGGTGGAACATGGGACGTAGTGACCTCACCGCTGGGGTGAAAGAAACAGCATTGATGCTATGAGCTCTAATGTTAGTAGTAACATAGTTTTTATATAGTAGGACACAGAAATGCTGAAAAGCAGTTCAACAGCGTAACTTGTGTGACTGTGACAGAGCGAACGCTGTGATGTTCAGACAGCTGCAGGTCATCCTGGACCTTCAGTTGACACACACACAGCTGTCTGCTGCAGAGGCGTTCAGGGTGCGGGTCGTTGCACAGATGCAGGTGTCGTATGCAGAGGTTGTGGTGAAGAGGAGGACGGCAGCTTCTTCGTGTCTCTGCACAAAGACGTCGCTCTGTGACCACATCCTCTCCTCTGCTGGAGCTCTCATGGCCCCGTTTGTTCCTCGCTAACAGTCTCTGCCTCTCCTGTTCAGAGACGAGAACTCTGACTTCCTGTTGTTATGAGCCATGGTCGACTCACATGTCAACGTTTACTTCTGTTCTGAAAGTGACTGAAATCAGAAAGTTAATCAGGAAACAAGGGATCTTTATGGGGAGACAGCAGGTCGACAGTAGATGCCACATAGACGTGGTTTACATCATCTGAAAACTGGGAACCTGAGGATTAATTTGAGATGCAGCTCAGCGCTGTGTGTCGATTTTTCTCGTCATAAATCTGTAATAAACATTTTGTTTTAGTTATACGCCTGTTCAAATTTTACAGGTTTAGAGTGTACAGGGACTCAGAACATTCTGATGGAAGTATATGAAGTATATGATGCACATTCACATGATCAATTATGTGTCATAAGATATGGCAGCAATTCCTAGGTTGCCTTCAACCTGCTGCTCCAGCACCCAACAACAAACAGGACACCAAAGGCTCATGAGACATCCTCAGCATTGTCCGGCAGATGTTAAAGGACCTCAGCCTCCTCAGAATATACTGTAGAGGTGGCTCTGTTCCGTCTTGTAGAGGCCTTCAGTGTTCTTGTTCTTCTACTTTCGTATGACACCAGTATCATTGTTCTAGCTAGAACACCGGCGGCCTGGTGGGTCTCATGTTGCAAACCAGATGACCCAGTTTGTTGAGCCAGGACTTTGTGTTGTAGATGAAAAACACACGTCAGAGACAAAAGGTTGAATTCTCAGAAAAACTACTGATAAGCAAGCTGCTAAAAATACCCGCAGACTGAGATATGTGGGCGGCGTCTTCCTGTCTTTACGGAAACTGACACAACAAGCACGTTAACTGCCGACAGTGGATAAAGACTGTGTGATCTGACAGGTGAGAACATCAACAACGTCTTACTTTAGACGGACTCTAATGAGGAATAACGATGCCGTACAGTCGGTCTCCTCTGACAAACTTTTATTAAGATTTATATTCAGCATGAAGCACTTCACAAACACCGACACCAACAGACAAGATGGAAAATATCAGTTAGCAATGGAGATCAAATCAATGCTAACAGGGTTCCCACACATTTTATTAATTTTAGAACTTTTCCATAATATTTCTTTCCCACAAACCGGGAGTGACCTTGGCGATGATGCGCTGCTGGTCTGGTCTGTGTATCAGCACTAGATTATAAATTGGTAATAAAAGGAGCATATATCACTTAATGTTGAACAGGATTTGGGAATTTTTTATGTACATACTTAAACTACAGTCAAAACAATGTTTATTCCAAACTTTTCCAAACCATTTCCAGGCCTAGAAAACACTTTTCTAATTTAATAACTTATCCAGGAATTTCATAACTGTGGGAACCCTGTAACTTGTGCAGACTGACGAGATGAATGAGCACTGGAAGCAAAGCATTTATAGAAAGTCAAAGAATCTGGTGTGTGCTGCTCAGCTCTCAGTCCTTGTGTTTTCCAGATGAGCCCTGTGCAGCAGACAGAGAGAGAGAGAAAGACACACCGTAAGTGATTTATTAAAAAATAATATCATTATTAATAACACCAACACCTGCTTCACTGAAGCACGAACAAAGATTAGGGCCATGTTACAGAAAAAAAAAATCTTAGATTTCGAGAATAAAGTTCAAATATTACGAAATTAAACTTTTTTAGGAGAAAGAAGTCACAGATTAAGACGAGAAGTTGGTAACATGGTATAAAAAGAGACAAAGTGTGTACAAGCAGTGTTAGCGGTGACGGTAATATACGTTTGAACAGTACTGAAGTAATATAACATGTTACCAACCCACTGGGTGCCATGATGGACACGACTAACGCAACATGAATGACACAAAAAATGCGGATTAAGCAGCGTGAATTAGGTGAGTAACATGATTTAACGTCATGGGCTAATTTGCAAGAGTTGAAAAATTTGAACCTCAGCGATCAGTTCGCGATGCGATGGCCAATCAGAGTTGAGATCCTCCTGGGAGGACGTACCGGCTGAAGTTCATTCATCTATTCAGTGATTTCACATGCATATGATGCGAGTCAACACAAAATATTCTAGCGTTCAAACTTGTGGGGGTAAGGTGACACAAAAACTTGCATCACATTTGGTGTGAACAACATAAAAAACACTGATATCTACCTGCTGCTTCATTCAGTGTTTTTTTAAACCAGCTAAAATCAGCTGGTCCATTTGTTAGAGAGGAAGAGACCTTTTTGGATAATTCAGCTGAACAATGAACACTGAAGGAATTCTAACCAGGAGAAGTTTCAGCTGATGCTAGACATCACGAAATCCCCCTAAATCTGACACACTGTTCCTTTAATGCGCTGTCTGACCATGAGCACCTTCATTTAAATTATATTATATGTATACACATATATGTGGTACAGTGACACATCAATGACTCATGTTGGACGAACCTGAAGCTTCCACACCAGAAACACCACAAAGACTCCAAAGACGATGCTCTTGACGATCAGAACAACGTAGGACAGCAAGGCAGCGTGCACGACCCTCAAATATTTCTCTGCCAAAAAAAAAAAAAAGAAGCATAATTTTAATGACGTGTCTGAGTTGTGTCAAAGCTTTGAGGTTGTGGGTTCATATCCATATTTACCTCTGATAGCTGCAGCTCCTGGTCCTGACAGAAAACAAAGTTTTTATTTCAGTGCAGTCACGACTTTGACATCATCAAAAACATGTTGATGTTCCTCTGAGACACAAATAAACAAACCTTTAACACCTTCGACCCAGTGCGACGTGGACACAGTCTGGCTCCCGTTGAAGAAGCCGATGCTGCAGCTGAACCTCCTGCCTGGTGTGAACCAATCACTGAGCGGGACCCTCAGCCTACTGCTGATGCTGTAATGTTCCCCTTCCCATAGGGCAGTGCCGTCAGTCGCCACGCCATCTGTGACATTCACCCCGTCGACCTGCCAGAATACACTCACATGGTCCGGGTAGAAACCAGAGGCCACACACACCAATGTCTTCTTGTTTTTCTTGTCTTTGTTGTTTTGACACTCATTTTGTGAAGGTGGAAGGACTCTGACTGTCGGTGGGGTGACGGTGCGCTTTGAATCTGTGGTGACAAAAGAGACAAATCATTAGATCCACATTTTGGGATATACACTAACTGCCTTTCTTGACAGAAGCATGATGATGATACTGCTCTCATGTCTGCAAAATAATTATGTGGCCAGAGACAGCAGCTGGTTAGCTTAGCTTAGCATAAACACTGGAAACAGGGGGACACAGCTAAACTCAATTTTTCTAATTTGTTCTAACTGCTCGGTTCGTCTATATGCAGATGATACAGTGATATACGTCTCTAAACTCTATTTCTGACAAACACAAACTTCCCTACAATCTGGTGTTTACATCAAACAAAACTGTCTCTAATCTAAAAAATGACTAATGAATAAAACTAAATCTTACAGAATGGCTTTTGGTACAAAACAGAGCCTGGGGCACCTCCCTTTTTTTAAACTGCAGTTAGTGGCTATTTTTGACATTAATATTGTTTGATATTCATCAATATTCATTTGTTTTTTAAAGTGAAATATAAGATTACAGATTTACCCTGTAGTTGTAGATATTATTTTGTTACTAACTCACAAGTCCATAAATACACAACTGAACAAGCTCTGAATCTTTGTTTGTATAAAACATCCTGCGGTCAGTTTTATATCAGATATGGCGGAGATGTTTTATGGAATGAAAATGTTCATTTAATGGATTCTTCTGTGTCTTTGTACAAAAAGAGACCTTTGATTTTCAACAAAACTGATCACTCTTAGGAATTGTTGTTCATGCTGTTAGTATAATATAATACAATTACTTAATATTTAAAAGTTAACTATATATATATATATATATATATATATATATGTATGTATAGATATGTGGCGAAATTGTTTTGAATTCTAGTATTTGAAAATTATTTGTGCTATTTACTGATCTAGACAGTGTTTTATACTTCAGAAATATATACTATCAGAAAGAAACTTGCTTTACAACTTTGAGAGATGTTTATTGAAATGCTCAAACTAACATTTCCCGCATTTAACCTCTCTAACTCCGCCAGGACGCCGACGTCCTCGCTCCCCCCCTCCTCTGTTTAATGGTATCTCCCAGGCGCACTACATCATCAAACCATGTGATGTTTGGTATTGCCGGATTCAGGAAGCTCTAGACTTTTCAAAAATAACATTGTTTTTCTTTTATTTATTATGTATTTAGCACCAGAGCAGCCTAAACACACAAAGTCCAAAATCACAATGAATGGTGACAAGTCATGTCATGACATTTCTCGACAGGAAAAGTTAAAGGATTACTCGAGATCTTATGTGGAGCTGTTAGCGGGGACTTAGCTGGTTTATAAAAGGTAAGAGTCTCACTCCTACCACTATTTTTGGCTGAGATATACCGTCTAGAAAGTGGGATCATAACTTTCAAGTTTCATATGGCTTTATTTGGTGATATTTTATGGTGTTTCTGTGTCATAAACAACATCAGCTATCATAATCACACCTGATTTCAATAAGGTACAATGTTTGAAGCTGGCTGAGTGTTGTTTGATCACTGATAGTACTGTTTTGAAGCAGAGTGACCCACTTGTCATTTGGAGCTCCGCCTGGATCTTTTCATGGTAAAAACACTGTAGAATGGTCATACTTTGAGCAGTCTTCTTCAAATTTGAAACAAGTGTTCATTGATAGTGTGCCTACAGCCCCACAGTGTCATTTACCTGCTCAGATGAAGCCACAGACAGTTATTCATCCTGAAAATCATTTTTTATTTTATTTTAGGCAAAATCTTCAACTTTTTACTGACTTCAGAGGCCCATTACTCTGTCTCTGTATCACCTAGAGTGTTTTTGACACTTTCACAAGAAACTTCAGAGAGTTTTCTTTCTGGCAAGACCTCATGCATGCATGTAGTCAGAGCGGTTCAGAAGCTACAGTCATTTTAATTTGGGTATGTCATTTTAGGCGTTTTTGCTACAGAATGGGGGTGGAGTGCAAGAGTTAATGCAGCATACAGTAGCCTTTTTAGATTTGTCCTTGGATCTCTTTTTCCTTCTTGTCATTGCACATCGTATGACAGACTCAGCTGGTTTTCTCATGGTTGAACGAGACATTCATTGGTTGCAACTAATTTTCAAATGTGTCCCCTTTACCTGTCCTCATTATCTAAAACAGTGTTCATATGATCAACTGACACACTCTGCTCAGCTTCTTTTTGTTTGTTTTTTTTGTATTCCAACAGTTGCATATGCAGAGGTGTAGATTTCAGGGGACACGCCTCCCCTTAATATTTAGAACACTTGTATTTGTCTTTTATTTTGACAAAATTGAAGATGTTTACACCATAAATTGATGCAGAAAGAGATCAAAGCAGTGTTTAAAATCAACAAAATTAAGGAAATTAAGTGTTTGATGCTCATAATTTTCTGGCAGAGCCAAATTCAATCTGTAAAATAAACATAAAAATTTCCCGACAGTTTTAGAGAATAAAACCTCAACACGTCCCTCACAGATATCAAACTGAGCTTTGAATTATATTTTTAAAAATATTACATAGAACAGCTGATGTATTGTTTTTAACCTTACTGCCTCAGGTATAAGTCACTTTGCTTTCCGTCCCAAAGTTAGCTTCACAATCAGTCACACTGAGAGCAATCATTTGGACAAACAGCTTGTTCTTTTGTCGCCGCAGCAGTTTGCTTTAGAGCAGCTCAGGACCGAAACAAGACCGGCACATGCCGCCACTTCTTCCACAATTTAAAGGGTGAATATTACATCTACTGACACCAAATAAAATCACCTTAAAGCTGCACAGTCTGTCTGATAAACTGACAGTGAAACACTCAGTTTGATGTGTTGCTGCCGATTTTCTTACCCAACACGGTCAGTTTAGTTCCAGCTCCAAAACGAGCCTCGGCGAATCATCACAGAGCTCTCAGCCTGTGACACAAACATGTCTCTGTGCTCCGCTCTGATATCATCGTTTGTTTTGAAGGTGACCAGATCACTAGATCCTCTCAGGAGTCTTTGCATGTTTTGGAAATTTGCTTTGAGAATCTTAAGACATTTCAAATATCCCAAAATACAATATTCAACTGAAACACGTAGCTCAACTGGTCGTCTTGGTTTGGATCATCTCTCAAAGTCTTCAGACAAATCTGATCCTTCATCGTCATGATGAAGTGCAGTTGTGCGAGCACCGACTTACCCAGACCAGTGAGTTTAGCTCCATGTCCAGAGTAGCTTCAGCTACTGGGTCACAGGTAGCGCTCCACAGTGAGTGTGTTAAATGCAGGAGGAGGTTTTTGTACAGTGGCTGTGCTGGTTTGTATCACCGTGCCCCCCCTGTCCTCACAGCGAAAAAGCATTACACAAAAACCTGACTTCTCCTGTTTCTCCTTCCCCCACCCGGCTGTCTCGTATCTCAGCCTCCATCTCTGTGAGTCTGAGAGCAGCTGTGCAGCTCGGTCTGACTGACGGGAGCTCTGTACAGCATCACTGCTGCTATTTCTGAGACAGCTAAGAAAAGAGGTGAGCAGGAAAAGACAAGAGTGTGACTCTTTGTGCAGCAGCTGCACACAGGAAGTGACATCTTCACTGGTCACACCTCTTTATCCCACCCACTCCTACCTGATATAATCTTCTCCAGACAGCACTTGTGTTTAATCCTTCAGTTGTTTATTGTGGCAGTGAAAACACTGAACCATGAGCTCTACCTCCATCTACTGGCTGAGTCTAAACTTTGGTGGAATTATTTTCCGTCCTTTACTGATTTAATTAGCATATTGCATGAGGATCATAATCTATTTTATGTAATAATAATAAATAAATTATTTGATATAGCGCCTTTCATAGAATGACATGAAAACCCTACGTGAGCTGACTGACCTGAGCTGGTTGGTAGGTTTGATTGATAAATGAGAGGCGATGTCTTTAAGTCCCCAAGTTCCACCAAGCATGAGTAATTATTCTCATAAAAGACAAAACATAAAGTTGAGTTATCAACCAGCTGAATCTCTGCCAAACTGTTTGAGTATGACGTCAGAATGCTGCTGTGTTTGTGCTGTCACCTCCTCAGCTCCTCCCGCTGAGCAGCCGGCTCTTCAGGGTGCCTGTTCATGTGGTTTTCTGCAGGTGTGCTGGAGGGTTTTTGTTGGGGAGTCTGGCGCTTTGTATCGCTGTGCGACTGTACGCTGCACAGAAATAGTGCCCACTGTCTTCAGGATGCCTCAGTCTGAGCAGATGGAGGAAAGCCTCCTTCTCACCGTCTCCACTGACGTTAAAGCTGCCCTCAAAGCCCTCCTCAAGAACTTGAACTCTTGTGTAACTTGTGAAAGCGACCAGCTTTAAAGTAGAGTCTTCTCCTGTGCGCCGATACCACAAAACAGTGTCGTAGTTGTTGACGCTGTGTTTGCAGGTCAGTTTGACTTTTGACTTTGTCTCCCACAGCAGATCGGCTGGAGTCTGACGAACACTGTGACTTTCATTTGGTGATATTCCTGCAGAGAAGAGCAAGAAGAGTTAAATTAAGATAAAGCCATACGATCAAACTTATAGTGATGAAGCAAAAACAAATATGCTGATTTACCTTCGATCCAGAAGAGCAGGAGAATAATTGGAATTAAAGCGCTGTGCATGTTGAGAACACTGAACTGTACGTGTCTGAAGCAGGAAGTGGAAGTGATTCAGTACAGACGCATCCCATGAAGAAGAGCATGAAAAGGTTTTACGTCAAAGGCAGAGATGAACCTGATGTGCTGTGCCTCATATTCACATCCTTTCATGTTAAAGAGAAACAAGCTTGTCTCTGCTCCACTCTATGACACATCACGTCTTCTTGAGCCGCCAATACAGTGACAGGAAAATACAAACTGAGTCATTTTGACTCAAATACTTTTGTGTCAATAAACATCAATAATAAGACCAGAGTTTTAAAACTTGCAAACAGCACCAAGAGTCTGTAGTCTGAATTATACAGAGTCCCTTAAAGGTCAAGTTGGAGATTTTTTTTGAAATGAGTTTTGCGTCCGCGAGGGAACGCAAAAGTATTGCAAGGGAATGCAAAAGTATTGCGAGGGAACAAAAAAGTATTATGAGGGAACGCAAAAGTATTGTGAGGGAACACAAAAGTATTGCGAGGGGACGCAAAATTTATTGCAAGGGAACGCAAAATTTATTGCGAGGGATTGCAAAACTATTGTGAGGGGACGCAAAAGTAATGCAAGGGAACACAAAAGGATTGCGAGGGAACCCAAAATGTATTGCAAGGGAACGCAAAAGTATTGCGAGGGGACGCAAAATTTATTGCGAGGAAACGCAAAATTTATTGCAAGGGAATGCAAAATTTATTGCGAGGGAATGCAAAACTATTGCGAGGGAACGCAAAAGTATTGTGAGGGAATGCAAAACTATTGCGAGGGAACGCAAAATTTATTGCGAGGGAATGCAAAACTATTGCGAGGGAACACAAAATTTATTGCGAGGGAACACAAAAGTGTTGTGAGGGTATGCAAAAGTAATGCGAGGGAACGCAAAAGTATTGCGAGGGAACGCCAAAGTAATGCGAGGGAACACAGAAAGTATTGCGAGGTAACGCAATGTATTGCGAGGTAATGAAAAAGTATTGTGAGGGAACGCAAAACATATTGCGAGGGAACACAAAATTTATTACGAGGGAACGCAAAAAGTATTGCAAGGGGATGCAAAAGTCAGTCCAAAAAAATTCTCCCTACTTGACCTTTAAGGGGCTCCGTAGAATTACAGCCCATAAAACAGAAATGTTAAATGGCGGGTCCGAGACTAAATGCCTTGATATCGTCCTAAAAGGAGAACCAAGCGTGTAACTCTGCCGACTTTTGTCCAGTAAGGACTGATTTCCAGCTCTGAGAGTCTTTATGAATCACACTGACTCGTTAGGGCTAACTGAGAGCATGCAGATGATACATTAAAATTATAAATAAGCAGGTTTACTGTCTAATTTGTGTATATATATGTATATATATATATATATATATATATATATATAAATATATGATGCAGGTGAAGGTCACGTGATCAGCTCCTCTGTCACCTGCAGAGTCAGCTGAACAGTCTGTAGCACAAACATTCACTGAATGTCCTGTGAATGCATCACTTAAGTGTCACAACTAATTTTGTTGTATTCATGCGCAGTGACAATGAAGGCTTTCTAGGTTCTACTTTTTAACCTAAACTCCTACAAGAGAAAAGAACGTGGCGACACACAGTCGGCTTTTCACTGCGACTCAAATCTTCTTAAAGTGCTCTATTTCACAGTGACCAAACAAAAGATACCAGAAAACCAACTAGTAACACAACAGAGTAACTGTGAAACAAACCTCAATTCACAAACTCAAAACTGGTCAAAAGGCTCTGAAGCACAAAGTAAACAAGTTGAACACACTCATGAACAAAGTCGACTGGTTTGTCTGCAGTTACCTACAAACAAATCTACACACAGTCTGAATGCAGGGCTTTGTTGGCACAGGTAAAGGAGGGAAGAGCTTCAAAAAGTCTCCTGTCACCTGCTGGACCAATCCAGTGAGAGCAATCTCTTCGAGTGAGCCAATCAGCAGTCACCACCTGCCTTGCATCATTCACTCACACTCCGAGGGGAGGAGAAACAGATCACAGCAGAAACGTCATAACAACACCGGGACCAGAACTAGAACCTCCCAAAGGACCTCTGTGACCTCCTCAGTGACACTGAGTCATTCTAAAGGAACACTAGAACCACCTAAAGAACCTGTACAACAGTGTTAAAGAACACCAGGACATGTTTCAGTCTGTAAACTTTGTTTCTCTGCAGGTTGATGAAGTTCAGGTGCAGGTTCGTTGTGTTGATCAGCGATGGAGACGGTCCAGTGGTGAAGGACGCCGCCCACCAACGTAGGGTAGGGTATCAAAGGATTGTAATAGATTATCTGCATGGTTTAAGACATCACATAAGAAAAACTGTTCAGGAGGGATTTGAACTCACAACCTTCTGACTGTGGAGCAGTTCCTCTACCAGCTGAGCTCTCAGGAGTCTGTGGAAGCACCTTAATATCTCTATCAAGGTGGAATTTCTAAGGGTTGCTCCACATTGTGGAACTTCCTGTTTCAGGTTATTCAATAGATGAATAAATACATTTTTAAATCAATTAAAGGGTTTTGATTGCAATGTTACTTTGTACTTTTTTCAGACTTACCTTTCCTGTGGTCCTTCCTTGTTGGTCAGTGATGGAAATTCGGAAATTGAAATGCAATTGCAATGAACGATGTTTGTGAACGCAAGGTTTAAAATTTTCAGCACACACTCCTGTGTGACATACCTCAGGCGGGGTTCGAACCCGCAGGTTGGCAGTTCTCTACGTTGGTGGTCGGCGTTCTTCACCACTGGACCGTCTCCGTTGATGATCAACACAATGAACCAGAGAGAGATGAAGATCAGACTGAAGCTGCACAAACTTCACCTTCATCAACCTGCAGAGAAACAAAGTTTACAGACTGAAACATGTCCTGGTGTTCTTTAACACTGTTGTACAGGTTCTTTAAGATGGTCTAGTGGTCACTGAGGAGGGACAACTGGTCTTAAAACACAATGGAACAAATTGACACTGACAAAATAAGAAACTTTAAGTCTTGTGTGTGTGAGACTCATTACTCTAAACAGTTCTTACAGCTCAACTGGTAGAGATCTACTTTTACTGTCCGAAGGGTGTGGGTTCAAATCTCACTTGTGCTCTTGGAGAGATCAGACTGATTCATGTTTGAATCCATTTTCAATTGAGGTAAAAATTTTGAGTTGGCTTTAACACTATTGACTGTATCAACCTCTAGAGCTCGAGTGCCCCCGGTACTGGGGGAGGGGCCGCCCTGCCCATTGCCTTTCCTATTCAATTGCTTCACAGGACATTTTAACACATGAAGACATCGTCAGGTTGCAGACTGTTTTGAGCTAGCTTAACCATGTCTTTGCTGCTGCTGTTGCAGTACAAATCCGGGTGGTGAGGGTAAGGTTTTATACCCAGCTGACATCTAAGATTTCAGTCCCCCAGCCTTTAATGTCATGGACTGTGTCTCCATCTGTTGGCTGAATCAGGTACATTTGCTCTTCTTCACTTTAATAGCAACAGTTTTGGCAATGGCAAAGCTCAGATGTTATGATTGGTTTGTTCAAGGTTCGGAGCTGCAAGTGCATCATTCCAAAAGGATATTGACTCTGGAAGTTACTGAAGACATTTAAAATGATTGAGTCAGTTTCAGGGTGATGGTAGTGCGTGCATGCTGGATCACTGCCGTTGCTCAGTGGAGCCATGTTTGACTTTTGACCTCCTTCAGTGTCTCAGACATCTGACATGAAAGAGGAAGAGGACCTGACTGCATCAGGACGGCAGCAACTTCCACAGAGACAAACTGTTCAGGAAGAATTTGAACTCACAACCCTCTGACTATGGAGCAGCTTCTCTACCAGCTGCACCATGTCCAGACACAGGACGCTCCTCTGCTTTGTGCTCAGTAACTTCACTTTACTTGAAAATGGATTCAAACAGACATAAAATCAGTCTGAACTCTGATCAGCTCTGAGTGTCTTCATGAAACAGACCTTTCACAATAAGACATATCTTGATGAAATGTCCCCTGATGGTTGACAGAAGGAAAATACAAACAGCAAAGTGGGATTTGAACTCACAACCTTGACACAGTAAAACTACATCTCTACCAGCTGAGCTGTCAGGACTTCCAGAGATAAACTGAGTCTCACACACACAAGAATTGAAGTTTCTCACTCTCTCAGTGTGAATCTGTTTCATTCCCCCAATCCCAAATGGATCCCTTACAGACTCGCTGACTCAAGCCCTAAGCCCTTACAGACCTTCAGTGGAAACCAAGGAAAACCAAGGGGAAGGGCCAAGACAAGGGCTAAAGGGAAGAAATGGAATTGGTCCTATGTCTGTAAGGGCTTAGGGCTTGAGTCAACGAGTCTGTAAGGGATCCATTTGGGATTGGCGGACTGTGTTTAAAGACCAGTTGTCCCTCCTCAGTGACCACTAGACCATCTTACAGAACCTCTACAACCTCCCACAGGACCTCTGTAACCTCCTCAGTGACACTGAGACATCTTAAAGGAACACTAGAACCACCTAAAGAACCTCTACAACAGTGTTAAAGAACACCAGGACATGTTTCAGTCTGTAAACTTTGTTTCTCTGCAGGTTGATGAAGGTGAAGTTTGTGCAGCTTCAGTCTGATCTTCATCTCTCTCTGGTTCATTGTGTTGATCATCAACGGAGACGGTCCAGTGGTGAAGGACGCCGACCACCAACGTAGAGAACTGCCAACCTGCGGGTTCGAACCCCGCCTGAGGTATGTCACACAGGAGTGTGTGCTGAGTGTGTGTGCGGGAGTCAAATTTCAAACCTTGCGTTCACAAACGTCGTTCGTTGCGATTGCGCGTCCGAATTTCCATCACTGACCAACAAGGAAGGACCACAGGAAAGGTAAGCCTGAGCCCAGGGGGTCAAGCTAGCTACGTTAGCTAGCTTGATGGACAAATCTATTTTAAATGTAAAAAAATACAAAATCTAGAAAATATTTACATATTTATTCATATTTAGTACAAAGCATAGTTCCACAA